GCCTCGGGGCGCATCAGGCATCTTGAGATAGGGAGGGTGCCCGAAGGCCTCCCCGAAGGCTCGCACTCGGACCACACGGCTGTGGCGCCGGAAGGAGACGGGATCGATTGTGTGGACATTTGCGCTCGTTGCAAGGTCGCCCAAAGATGCGCGATTCCGAAAAGAGAGATTCGTGGAAGCCGTCGCCATCTATGCCAATCAAGATATTCGGTGCCACGTGGGGAAGCAGAGATCCGCGCAGTAGGCGAAGGAACGAGGAGATCAGCTGTTCTGGGTCGCAGCCAGAGACCGCCTATGCCACTGGGGGAACAGAGGCGGCCGCACACGGTGGCGGACAACACGCGGTGGCTGGGGTGCCACGATAAGGAGCGCGCAAGCTTGCCAGGGTGGCGCCCAGTGGCGAAGGGCATGCCCGTTGCCTTGGGAGATCACTTGGACTGGTCGAAGAAGCAAATTCTGCGAGGGCGCGCGGCGACGATTCATTTATGGTTTTGCACGAAGAGGAGGAGGAGGTCGTTGGAGATGCAGACGAGGAGGTCTTGCTGCATCTCCCCCGAGTCATCGTATTCGATCTTCATGTGAAGGATTGGCACCTGCCCAGATGGGAGCTGGGACTGTATCCGATCTTCCCATCCAAGGGGCGCCGGTGGTTCTTGGACGGGTATAGGAAGCATCCAGTTTTTGGTGTGCAGCGGACGCGCTTCATGATCGCGCCGTCGTTGGCTGTGACGGCGCGCGCCGCGCAGGGGTGGACGATGGGGCAGTGATCGCAGTCCTTGGAAGCGGGCGCGGCGTGAGTTGGATGTCCAGTTGCGTTGCCATCTCGCGGGTACGAAGACGATTGGGCCGATTGACATTTTGGCTTTTCATAAGTTGCCGTGCAACAAAGGAGAGATGGGGGCGCGAAGAAGCTTTTGTAAGTGCTCCGAGACGAGGGCGTGCATTGGGCGACGTGGGAAGCGGAACTCATGCCACGAGACCAGTGCGATCGGTGCCGTCGGATTTTGCTGGTGGAGAAAACGAGGTACGACTTGCAGATGAGGGATAGGCCCGTGTTTTGCAGGGCAATGCGCGGACGAGATGAAAAGCGCGGGCGAGAAGTAGTGCGAAACGTGCAAAGGGTGGGTCGCCACAGTTGAGGGCGATGCGCCGACGCGGCGTGGCGGCGATTGGGGCAGCAGGGAACCTGGCAATGAGCAGGACGCGAGAACGATTCGGAATGTGTTTTGCGCCAATTGCAGCCATGTCAAAGCGAAGTGGAAGTCGCGCAGTGGCAGCTCCAAGTGCGACGAAGGCGTCGGCGCAGTGCGATGTTCGAACGAGACGTGTCTTTCCCTTTTTGAAGAGATGTCGGGGATGTCGGAATCTCAGTGGGAGCACCGCGCAGCGTGGGAGAGTTTGTGTCGAACATGCGAAGAGGTGCGGGGCACTTTAGCGCGAAAAGCAAACGACGGCAATCGTAGAACGGGTGCGGAAGCGGAGCCGCTGACGTGTTGCGCGCCAGGTCGCGGGGACTTTTTTTGGGAGATCG